GAGTATCATGTACAACGGCACAAAACTAGTATTTATGTTATTGCACACAACAAATAAATGTTTAGTTTAAATCATGGTGTAAATCATTGACAATTGTATAATGAAAAAACTTAATTACAATTTACCATATTTTTAAATTTTTATGCAGTTTTAAAAAAGAAAACACTAAATTTCAAAAATGTTTTGTTTGTCAAACTAAAAAAATATTTATATTTTTAAATTAGGTTTACTAGATTGTAACCTGTACAACACAATCACTGTGCAGGTAACTACTCTGCATAATTTTAATAATAGAACTTTATATCTTTGTTCAAAAATTGACTCTAAAAGCTGTATTGATGACGAAAATTGAGTGCACTATTGTTATAATAGTGCTTTTTTGTCATTTTTATGTTATCTGTTTGTTTTACTCAACAATGTCAATGTCAATGCAGTTGCATTCACACTTATGTAATTTAGAAAAACAGCTATTTTGTAACTTGGTTTTAACAAGAAGCCGGCTTTACGCGCAGCTATTTTTAAATTGATTTTGTTTTGACATGCAAAGTTTGACAAAGTGTTTAACGTTAAAAGTTTTTTTGACAAATTTATTTTATCTTAAATAGCACTCACAAACAAACAAAAAAGTTTTTTATGTTGTTAGAATACAATTTGAACGAGCGACATTGTCAACATGAAACAACACCTTAATTTGCCATGATCTGATGACTTCATTGTCTACAATAAACAACAAAAAATTAACATTTTAGAATGGCATTAATACTAATGCAACAAACCGCACTAGCATTCAGTAATATTAAATCAATAAAACAGCTAAACTGTTTTGTTTTTAAATAAATGAAAAACCAGAAAACTTTAATTTGTTTCCAAAATTAAAAACAAAAAAAATTTATAAAAATGTTCAAACGTTCAATTATTTAGCAAAACTTAAAAAAATTAAAATAAATTTATTTTTTATAAAATACTTGGTTGCCAAACATTTTGTATTAATTTAAAAAATTTTATAAAACAATGCAAAAATTTGCATTGCGTTTGCAGCCTAATTAGTAATGACTGCAAGTCACATGTTTTCATTTAGCAATGCAGGCGAAAAGCATGGCATTTTGTTTTAGTGAACTAAAAGAATCTCTTGTTCTAGCTGTACGTAAACTAAAACGCCAGCCAACTTCAAGGGTAATTCGTAATGTTAATGTAGTGCTATTGTTATTGAGAACTGAAAATTAANCTGTACGTAAACTAAAACGCCAGCCAACTTCAAGGGTAATTCGTAATGTTAATGTAGTGCTATTGTTATTGAGAACTGAAAATTAAGAATAGACAAATTTTGCCGCAGCTCCTTCTAATTTTGTAACTAAACAGTGAAGTGATGAATTCAACATGAAAGAAACAAGATAATGATGCAAACGTTGAGATTTGCAACAAAACGACAAAAAATAATTCAAGTTGTAATGAAATATTTTACTTTTGCAGCTAAATGAAAAAAAATTTGCAAAAACTCTTTTTTAATGTACTTGACAGAAGACGAATTGATCTGATGACGCCCGCTTTGTGGAATGCGGATAAAAATAAGTTGTTTTATTTTACCCTTTTTTTGTTAATCAAAATTAAATTTAAATTTGTTGTAGAAAGTGAGTAAAGTAAGTTTAGAACAACAAAGAAACTTGTTGTTACACTTTAAGTTTACTTTAAAAATGAGTTGTGATTAGAATTTTTTGTTCATTTTATTAAAATGCTCAAAACAGTATTTTGTTTTGTTTATAAACCACAAAATCAAATTTTCATATTCAAAACTTTTTATATTGTAGTACAGAATTCACTTATCTGTACAACCGTTTCACACAAAACAAACACAAAATAATTTAATTCAAAACATGTTTGTTTTTTATTTGCTTTCAATGTATTGCTTCTTATCATCCAAATTATTGCTAAACTGCTAAATTAGTAAAACAAAAACAGTGTCTTCACTTGGGGTGCAAATACTAGACGCTAATATAGATAGAAATATGTTTGTTGGTTTGTTGTCTCAAAACCGGAAAGGAACTCATTTTGTGTCCCAGTTCAGTCAGTCAGTCTAGTTTCCATTGGCATGCCAGGCCTTCTGCATCTCCTCCACGTGCTGGCTAAAGTGCGAGCCATCGTAGGAGGCGTCGTAGAGGCGACTCTTCAGAAAGAGGTACTTGTCGTCGGGTTCGGGCCGGTGGTGGGCGTATCCCTCGGCGTACAGCCACTCGGCGGTGCGCTGGGCGATGCGCAGCGACACGTCGTAGATGTTCTCCAGCGGCGGGTAGACGCTGCCCTGCTCCAGGTCGCTGGCCGCCACCTGGTCGGCGAGGGCGAAAGCCGCCACCAGGAAGACCTCGTCGGGAATCTCGTGCACCTGACAGGCCATCACCGCCAGCGCCACGCCGGGGAAGATGTAGGCGTTGTTGCCCTGGCCGGGCAGGTGCGTCTTCCCCTTGATCGTCACCGGGGGGAAGGGCGACCCACAGGCGAAGATGCACCGGCCCTCGGTCGCCTGGTACGCCTGCTCGGCGGTGCACTCCGCCTTGGAGGTCGGGTTGGAGAGGGCGAAGATGAGCGGCTGCTGGTTGATTTCACCCATCTTCTTCAGCACCTTTTCGTTGAAAGCCTGTGCAATCGCAGCGACACCTGTTGGTGAAAAAAGGTAAAAAATTACTTATTGACTTTACTTTCATTTCTCTTTCCTCAGTATTACCAATGATGGCCGTTGGCTTGACAATGTCAACTATTTCTGCTAAATCTGCCGAGTTTTTAGTGTTTTTGGCGTACTTCTCCTTATGAGGGTCTTTGCCGCGTTTGTCCTCTCGAGTAGTGGTCACCAGACCTTGAGAGTCGCAGAGGAAGATTCGATCTCTGGCCTCCTGTTCACCAAGGCCTTCCTTCTTCATCGCCATCACAATGAGGTCGGCAATGCCAAGAGCGGCCTAAACGTTTTAAATGTAAAAAACTTGTTAGTATATTGTCTTTTCTCCAGCAAACAAAGTAAACTCACCTCGCCTGCACCCTGAAACTGAAACTTGTGCTGACTAATCTTCTGTCCGGTAATTCTCAGACTGGCCAAAATGCCGGCCACCGCCACCGAGGCCGTTCCCTGGATGTCATCATTAAAGGTGCAGTAATTTTTCTGGTACTTGTGCAGCAGTCGGAATGCATTCTTATTGCCAAAGTCCTCAAACTGAATCAGACAGGAGCGGCCCCACTTCTTGACGACCGCCTCCATGAACTCGTCAATCAGCTGGTCGTACTGCGGACCGGTGGCCCGCTTCTGTCGCAGGCCAATGTAGTAGGGGTCGTCGAGAAGGGACTGATTGTTCGTGCCCACGTCAATGGTAACCGGGAGGGTCAGCTCCGGGGGAATGCCGCCGATGGCCGAGTAGAGGGCCATCTTGCCCACGGGAATGCCCATGCCGTTGGCGCCCAGGTCGCCCAGACCGAGAATGCGCTCGCCGTCAGTCACCACAATTGCCTGCAATTTTGTTGTTGAAAACATATTCAGTTTAACAAGAAGTTTAACAATTTAACCACAAAAAACACTTTTTGTTTCTCTCTCTTTCTATACCTTAATCTCCGGCTCAGGGCAGTTGTTGAGCACCTCAAAGACGCGTCCCGCGTCGTTGATGGTGATGAACATGCCGCGCGGCTTCTTGAAGATCAGACTGTACTTCTGACAGGCCAGGCCGACGATGGGCGTGTAGACGATGGGCATCAGCTCCTTGGTGTGCAGCTGCAGCACTCGGTAGAAGAGTCGCTTGTTGTTGTCCTGCAGGTCGCGCAGGTAGCTGTACTTCGCCAGATCGTCCTGACACATTCGAATGTTCTCCATGGCGATCTTTACCTGCAGCTCCTGAGAGCGAACCACCGGCGGCAGGAGGCCCTTCAACTTGTACACTTCACGCTCTCGCGAGGTAAAGGCAAGGTCCTACAAAAGATCAAAATAATTAGGTTTTTTCAGTAAACAAAAACAGCTGCAGAAAAAGCACTGACCTTGTTGATATTGGGCTCTCGAATCAGATCCACTCCCGTTAGCTTACTCATTTCGGCGTTTTTGTTTAAACGATGAAGGTGAAAAGCAGTGTTTAGTGCGTTTGAGGCGGATGCCGAGCTGCTGACAAACGTTGAGGACGAGGTTTTCGGGTAGACGAAAGAGAACAGTGATCCAGTCGGCTTCGCTTGATTGCTCTAATGGTCAATTGATTGAACACATGAAAGAACAAGAGAGAGAAAGAAAAAAGGGATTGTTTAGCAATTGGAGGTTTTTTTACACAAGGTGTTAGAATGGTTGTTGTTGTTGTTAAAGGACAGCAAAGAGAGAACAGCCCCCACCCAAAGACACTACTAACGAGCAGGCTAACAATGTAATTGGCAGGTGAAAGCGGTGTTGATCAGTGTGTGGAAAGTGTGGAAAATGTGGAAAGCACCGTTATTAACGACTGCAGCACCGTTTGACAAGTGACACTGAAAATCAGCCGAGCACTATGACTATTTATACAGCCGGCAAACTGCTGCTGTTCTCAGCACACATACACACACAGACAAAACTTGTTTGAAAACATCAACAAGTGTGCGCGTGCTAGGCGATACCAACAGACACCAACATCGACTGTACGGCTGGCTGGCTGGCTGCTGGTGGCCGTACACAGAAAGGAAAAAATAGAAACGGAAAGGAAAAGAAAGTGCGCTTTTTCTGCTGCAGAGATTGCTGGTAGTGGTGGTAGGGCTGAATTAAGATACCACCACGACGTCGGCCGCGGCGACTTACAGAGAAACAAACTGACCGAAGAGTGTCAGCTGGATGGCAAATGAACAAAATGAGCTTGTTAGCTTGGCTGGAGGCAGCAGCAGTGTTTGTGTGCAGCAGCAGCAGTTAGCATGTACGAAACGTACTGCAAGCAGTCGCTTCTCAGTGGCTTTTTAGCGTCTATCTCAAATTGTGGCAGTCAGAACTGTGTACTGTACGCGTGCTAAGGCAGTGACGTGCTACACACACACAACTAGACAACGGCGGTGCATGACAACGTACGGTGGTGGAGGAGGAGGAAAAAAAGTACTGCTCTCAGAACAACTGGCAGCTAAGTGGACAAAAAGGGCAAGGAAAAGGGAAAGCAGTGCCTGTCTCTGTCTCTGTCTGCCTGCTCTGGGAAGTTCATCGGTGGTCTGACTGACAGTCCGACTGCTCGTGCTGAGTGGCAGTGGCCAGGAGGGCGATTGCTGCACCCATTCAACACCTACTTTTCTATTACACGCCACCAAGGACCTGGGATTGTCACTCATCAGCTATCACCTGATGACTACTGATGACTGGAGAAAATGAGAGGAACAATTGATAAACTTAAAGAGAGAGATAATCAGCCTGATAGTTCTGACTAGGGTTGAGGCAACACCTGTACACCGTGCACGCCCATCGATTACCATTGTTTCCATTGTTTGCCATCACACTATCTTCCTTTTTGTGGCAGTTCCCCAATTGCTTAACAACTCTTTGCTAACAAAACACGTGTACTCGGTGTCTTTGAATCGTGTTCATTAAATGACAACTGGATGCTGATTGCATGCACGGAAAATATAGTCAGTTTTAATTAAGATTTGTTTTGGCTAAAATACAAAATTTAAAATTAAAACAGTTTTAAATA